CAAAGAGGGTGTATTCAGAAATGCTACGTCATATATTGTGATGACAGTTTTATACGCCATCCATCACTTATGGAGTTCGCTCGTCACATCATTTCACGGTGGGGCCAAAATGTGTTCCGTTCTGTCTCAACTACGAAGTACGACAGGGCTGACTCAACAACCGTATCCGATCATTGCTCCCTCACATATTGCACCTTCGGGAACTCGTGACAGTCTTCTATCACCCACCTTTCTACCTTACTACTCCCTGACTGCCGTCTTGTCCACATCCTTCCTCGGTGATATCTAGCATTCCAGTACAGTTAGGATATGGATGCTCACTTCTAAATGCCAACTAGAAAATGAGTAGCTTCTGGAGCTAGCGTTATATTTAAGGGACATCACAGGCAACAGATAGCAGTTGTCACCATTAGAATTCGTTCCATGTTCCTCCATTTGGCGGAATCATATGCGCTCTTTTATTCCGCCCCTGCCAGCCAGTTTTAATTTTTTAATTTATCCAGCCTGTTGGTATTTACTGAAAGGTCAAAACTGCCATCTTTATCTCTTTCGTAGGCCCTTCCTGAGCATCCTGGACGATATAAACACAGTTAGCCCCAACATACAGGACATGGTTGTGCGCTGCGTAGCCCAACTAATCCAATCCCAGTGGGCAAACATCCGTTCCGGATGGGCGAATATCTTCCTTGTGCTCAATTTGGCGGCCTCTTCTACAGAATCTGGTGTCGTGGAATTGGCCTTTGATTCGTGCAATTTCATCATCAATACAGTCTTTCCCAACAACTTCTACCTCCTGGTGGACTCCTTCCCGGTTAGTTGATTCTCCCCCGTTTTTTTAATGTATATCCTACCTTCCCGTTCATATTTCTCTGCAAAATATTTACAAAATAACCGTCATTTAACACCGATGTCTGAAAAGCAGCGCGCGATCTAGCACTGGTGCGCTTCCGAAACTACTGCGACCCACATTCTGCATCTAATGTGCTGGCGTTTTTTGTTCACTCTGCAGCCGAAATACCACATTCAGCAAAAAGATGTAATCGTTGGGAAAATAATTTTATTCGGCTGCAGTTTCGAAATCCGTTGCGGATGATTCATCAGGGCCATTAGCAGAAACGGGAAACGGGTAATTCACGTACAGGGAATTGCAGTATTTATGGGATACAGTCACTATGCTGTTGCACACTTATGACAATTAACGACTCCCCTTTCGACGATAATTGCTCGCTTGTGCTCCAATTGCTTGATGACTAGCGTGCGAGCCGTGGCTTGCTGAACTTTCATCATACTTGGAGTAGGACGTGATGATTGCTCGGCCATCTGGTTCTGGCCTTTGCGTTAGGCGATGCGTTGGTTTGTTTCTGCTAATCCTCTGACGAAGGATCCGCGCCGACGAGGAAACTTCAAGCGAATAAACTTCTTGTCCCGGCGGTTACATCTTTTTCTCAATTACTTTCTGGGACTCGCATGTTCGCTTTTATTGGCAACATTCAGTCGACAGACGATAAAGGGATTCAGATGTGCCAGACTTCACAGTGCCACGTTGACTAACCTGATAAAATAAGTGACTGGAACCTTCGTCGTATGTGGCGAACAGTGGAAGCTATTGACAGTTCTTGATTCCATTATTTCCTTATATTCCCCGAGTGTTTTTCTAGCCTATGACGAGTTTCTTTTCATGCCAGTGCTAACTTCAAGGGAATTATACCAACAGAGACTCAATTGGAGTAGCTATCCGCTAGCTAAGTTGCAATTTCGGGTCCTCAAGATCCCATATTTTTATTAGTCTTTTGTTTTGAGGCCAGCCAACTTTTAATTTTCTAGCGTTAGTTCTTCCGTGGGCTTCAGCGAGGACCATCAGTATTGCCAGGAGAGCAGCTCTGGCTTGCACAACATCGACTCCCTTCACTCGAAAAGCTCAAGACGACTGCGAATGGGCCTCTGTACAATGTTGGGCAAATCAGGGTTTACACGCGCCACGACACCGTTTAATCCTACCTCATGTCTGCACCCCAATGTTCGCACAAGTTAACCAGGTGGGGAGACATTCTGTGTATGCGTCGTCTAGATTAGTCTGCCGACCCCAGCTATTTCCCAGCAATGACCGTTGCACTGAGCACAGCCTCCTAGAGCTACAGATAGCAAACTGGGTGTCTGATTTCGTTTGTGTGTGTTGACTAATATGAGAAGAGCGCTGTCTGTGTGCGCCATTTGCTAAGCGGAGCGTGTGCTGTCCAGAATGCAGGTCAGTGCGATGATGTTCTGCTTCTACGAGCCTCCATGGTCCTGGTGAACTACAACAAACGATATTAGAAGCCGGAATCTACCGGGCCCTCGTTTGGGGTTTCTTGAGTTTCAACCTTAGCATAGGCGCTCTTCCTGCAATCATTCATTCATTTGAATTCGTGCCTTCAATGAGATGTCTCTTCCACGTAGACGATAATCCCAACTTCTAATGCGAATATGGTTATTTTCAGCAGATCAGTTCTTAGTGTTAAGACTTATATGGAGGTGCCTGGCAAACTATTTCTTATAATATCAAATGTATGTTGTGGTAGGAGTTAGTTTGGAGTGCCGACAATGTTGTTATTGGGGCGGAAACATCGTTGTGAGTGGGTAGTCTGGCTGAAACAGGTCAATACCTGGAGCTGTGGTGAATTGGGAAGCTAAGACCGTGGTAGACAAGACCAGCCTGTCTGCTTTCGGGTTTCCTAGCTGCAACAGCTAACGCTTTAACGAAGATGCCCCGCGTTGGGGCCACGGGCGTATACGAGTCGATGTGGTCTGCGTGTTCTCGGCGCATCCAGTTTGGTGGACTCAAATCACACATTCCCGAAACTCGGTTCTGTCTGCGTAGTGGTGGTACGATATCCCACAGGGGTGTGATCTTTGAATAAACTGTCGCGGACAATCACTACCATCAGCGCTGAATGTTTAAAGTCAGGAGACAATCTGTACGGTAAACGAGCGGCACTGTGACACGACGAGCATGAGCTGCCATTAAATAATTGTGTTGTCTCACTACTGCCTTACGGACTTGACCCAGGTCCAAAGAATAATTCGGGGCCACTGAGCCCAGCCTAGACCAACTTCCTGAATCGCTATTATACGCAACTCATATCTAGCG